TAAACCCTTGGAATAATAGAAGTCCCTAGAGCTCATTTAATTCGTTTTGGAAACAACCGTAGTCCAGAAACCAAAACGTGGCAAAGACCGCGAAAAGAAAGAGGGAGAGAAAACGGGGCCCCAGACAAATTTATAAATTTATATAAAGAGCAAGAATACTAGGTAAAGCATGAACAAATTAAACTCGGTGTTTAAAGGAGAAGTACAGCACATTACTTGGGCGTTGGGAGCCTTCTGTAAATTAAAGTTGCAGATACCAGAGATTTAACAAGAAGCTGTAGGCAACGCTCGAGAAATGTTCATTGTTGCTATTAAGAGCTCATTCCAGTGAATTCTGAGGTGTGCTGAAGTTACAGCCCGGAGAACAGGAAGGAAAGAGAGGAGAAGCTAATATTAACTCAGCTTCAAGCTAACAACAAAGGAAGACAGCCGCCCCACATCCTTTCCTGCATCCTGAAGATCAGTCACAGCGCTTCCTGCTTTCAGAACAACCAAAAAGCAGCAGAACCTTTCTCTGTGGCCAAACCTGAGGCCTGTGCCTGAAATCCCAGCTGCTGCAGACGCTGGAGCAGGAGGATTTCTTGAGCCCAGGAATTAGCAGCTGGCCTGAGCAATGTAGCGACTCCACCGCAAAACACAGAAAAGAAAAGGGGGCTGGGGGGAATCTCAGGGGTATAGTGCTTACTGGAATGTGCGTGGGCCTGTGTTCAATCTCTAGGAAAGAGAGAGAGACGAGACGGGGGAGAGAGAGAGACGGAGAAGAAGGAAGGAAGCAGGGGGGATGGAGGGAAAAAGAAAGGAAGAACACAGGAAAGAAACGGAGGGAAGGAAGAATGCACGTTTACAGCTATCTTGAGTTTTGCCAAAGGAAGCAGCAACTTACCTTCCATAAAGGACAGTCTCCTTAATGGAACACCATTAAAAACGGGATATGCAGGCCAGGGATTTAGTTCAGTGGTGCTGCTGCCTGCCTTACAAGCGCAAGGTCCTGAGTTTGATCCTCAGTACAAAAACAAAAACACCCCAAACTGGATATGCATATGCAGAAGGAAGAAACCAGGCCTTTGTATTTCATCATATACAAAATCAGCTATGGCCAAAGATGTAGCTCCTGCCCGGCAAGCACAAGGTCCTGAGTTTGATCCCCAGTACTGGGGAAAAAAAAAATCAAGTAGGAACTGGACCAAAAGCACAAATTTAAGATATGAACCTGGTGGAAGAAAACAAACACTTTAGGATCTTTCGACTGGACAAAGATTGGTTAGTATAGGGCCCCAAAGCCCTGGAAACAAAGCAGAAATTGACAAATGGATTTCATCAAATTTAAAAGGAAGGGAACTACAACTAAAGCAGCAATCCACAGAGTGACAGCTCGCTTCCAGACCAGCTGTCATACTTGCAAACTGTTTCATTGACACATATATTTCTGCAACATATAAGGAACTCCAATAATTCAACAGCAAAAAAAACTCAACCAACCAATCCACCAAAAAAACAACTAATCCGATTCTGATCTGGCCATGATTCTTTAATATACGGTAGGGTATCGTCTTACTCTCTTACTATTTTCCTTTCCTTATCTCTCCAGTGGGGAAAGATCATTGGTGCAATAACAGCTTCTAAAAATACAGTTTAAGAGCAAAAGAATATGAAAGGCAATCAATACAAGCAGAAGAAACCCTGGTCTTGCTTCCAGGTGGAAATCACTAAACTGTCACACCATGATTGGGCCAACGCTAAAGCCTCAAAAACCTGGAGCCCAACATAGCAGTGCACACCTGTAACCCCAGTACTCAGGAGGCTGAGGCAGGAAGATCACTGCAAATTTGAGGCTAGTGTGGGCTACATGGTGCGTTCAAGGCTGGCCTGAACCACACAGCAAGACCCTGTCTCAAAAATCCAATGAAAGAAAAATCTGGGGGTGGGTGTGTAGCTCAGTGACAGAACCTGTGCTTAGCATGGGTGAGACCCTGGGTTTGAGCCCCAGAACAAGGAAGAATGAACTATACCTTAAAAGGAGCTGAAGACTAGAAGAGACTGGGGATCATGGGAAGGGCAGGGGCGTGCCCTGGCCTGGGTGGGGCACATGCACACAGTGAGTGTTCCCCAGGGCACCCCTGGCCAGAGGATCGCCATTGCCTGAGAAGTAAACTCTACCTGCACCCCCGCGCTGAAGCCACAGGCACAGGGGTGATGGGTAAACACAGTATTTCAGAATTATAACCACTGGGGAGAGAGTCCCCACTTGTCTCGGTGTTGGTTAGCAGAAGGGAAATTCACTGCATCCTGGACTGGATTTGTGGGAGTCCTCTGTTGCCAGTGCTGGGTCTGAACCCCTGGACCCCTCCACCTTAGCACCCATAGGAATGGTGGACACAGGCTCCCACCACAGTGCTAGCCAACACCAGCTCTGATGTGCAGGTGCCACCACTGTCCCCTTCCCCACAGGTGGGTGAGCTGAATAAACAGCGTGCACTGCTCACTGGGGGCCAACACACAGAGCCCAGGATCTTGCACAGGAAGGTAATCTGGCTCCTACCTTGACCACTGTAAACCCAGGGGCACTCTGTTAGAACTCGTCAGTGACTTTGGCAGTCTCGGGACACAAAGCAACCTACATAAATCAGTTCTCTTTCTATATTCTATCAAGAATGTGAAAAAGAAATCACCAAAGTAATTCCATTCATAATAGTTATCAAAAAGAATGAAAGCCGGGCATGATGGTGCATGCCTGTAATCCCAGCACTCAGGAGGCTGAGGCAGGAGGATCGCTGTGAGTTCAAGACCAGCCTGGGTAACAGTGAGTTCCAGGTCAGTCTCAACTACATAGTGAGACCCTGTCTCAAAAAACAAACAAACAAAAAGAATGAAATACTAAGGAATACAGTAGCTGTAACCAAGGAGGCAGGAGAGTTGTACATGAAACACATAAAATATTGTGGAAAGAAACAGATAAAATGGAAACACAACTCATGCTCGTAGATTGGAAGACTTAATAGTGGTGAAATGTCAGTTCTACCAAAAATTATCCATGGACCTAGTGTAACCCCTATCAAAATACCAAGAAAACTTTGTAGAGGAATAGTGAAGCCCATCCTAGAATGTATATGGGAATTCAAGAAACCCCAAATAGCCTAACAGATCTTGACAAAGAACAAAGCTGGAAGCGTCACACTTTGATTTTAAAAACTTACTACAAAACAATAGTTTTCAAACACTGTGGCACTGACATACAGACACACGGACAGACGGAATAGTACAGAGAGACTAAAGTAAGCCCTCATACATGGGCCGAATTATTTTTGACAAGGGTGCCAAGACGTGTCCAAGGTCTTTGCAGGACCCTTACTGGCCCAGGAAGTTTGCCAAAGGTTGGCTTGCTTGCCAGCTTCCTCTCAGAGGGAAGCCTGGTTCCCAAGTTCTTCAGAGGACGCTCCTTACATGCCTTAGCTATTAACCACAGTGAATACCACATCTGAGGCAATCATGCCTCTGTGCTGTCATTTTTCACTTCCTTTGTGGACTATTTCATTACATCAAAGTTAAGCCGCTATCAGAGCTCCACAATCAGATACATTTTCACGATGCATCCTAACCCCTAGACCCCGCCTCAAAGCTTTACAGTGCTGCGGCCCTGGGCATGCCACTTTACTCTCTGAGCCTTCCACCTGTAGTCGGACACCACCAGTACATGTTTTATGTTTTATTTTTTAATTATTTTGGTCCTGAAGACCGAGCCAAGGGCCTGGCGCTGGCTAGGCAAGCTGTCTGCCACAGAGTTACACCCCCAGCCCTGCAGTTCCGATTCTTAAATTTAAGTAATTCTGGGATTGGGGTGTAGCTCAGTGGCACAGAGCTTGCCTAGCAGGCAGCCCAGCCCCTGGGAGGAAAAAACGATGAAATCAATTCTTACTGAGGGTTTAGCTCCCTTCCAGCACCCAAACCTTGGCCTATCCAGTAGACACTGTCTTAACCATGAATCACATGCTCAGGAAAACTGGAGCACTCACATGGAGTCCAAAAATGGAAGACTCCTCCTACCCTGTAAGGAGCAGCGCCGGTCACTTGGGAGCACCACGTCATCTGCCAGGGCTGAGTGGCAGGGGGGCCCAGGGGCGGGCGTGGCCGGGCAGTTGAGAGACCCCGGAAGCCCCTC